GCGTCTAAAAGAGAGTTATTAATATGCCAATAGGCGCTCCCTCTACAAGTGGAGGAAGGAAGCTTAATGGTGACGATCACAGCCGAGTGGTCTGACAAAAAACAGGGAAGAATGTTATACATAGAGACGGAGGACAAAAGAGTAGTGGGAAGATAAAAATGGTCCAGTCTGGCTTTTAAAAAAAACACCATACTGGCTGGAGGGGTTAACTCTGTACCAAGTGTAGTTCTGTTCATCAGGGTTCCGTCTGCGCCAGACGTCGTACAAGGACTGTCTGTTTAGAATATTTTTGAGAGCCAAGGAAATTTTGGGGCGATGCTCGGCTGGCATGCCTAAGCGGTCTAACTCAGGATCAAAGGTGCAATTGAAGTCACCTCCTACTATAATGACACCGTCACTGATGGGGTTGCACTGCTTGTAAATGCAGTCGACGGCTTTTAAGACTTCACTGTCAGATTGGGGGATGAGAATATTGTACAGATAAAATGTGGCGTTATTTCGAGAGATTTTAGTGTAACATGTCCGTCATAAACAGAGGAAGATTCAAGTACAAAAAATATTATTTTTAATTAGAGTAGTGACCCCAGATCAACGAGAGGGGCTGGGATTACAGTAGGGAGTGTTGTCAGGCCATGAACTCCAGGATTCAAACTGATCATTTAAAGTATAGGTTTCCTGGAGAAAAATGAGTCGATATATGTGTGAAGAGAAGCATGTTTAATCGGAGACTGTAATGTATTGTGCATGATCAGAACTGTATTACTTATGCACACCATGAATATTCATGTAACTGATGACGTCACGCAGTGTCAGCATAATAAATCACCTTTTCCAACATGGCAGCTCCTAGTGTCGCTTGTCCACATTGTTACCCCCGGTATAACCCACGCAAATACATAACAACTGGCGACGAGGATGAGTTTTAATGGAACATTCAGTTACAAGAACTTATCCACTATTGACTGAGAGTGGTTTTCTTCACCGGGTGGGGTGGAAATCAGTGAATTTGGACGGTGTTTTACGTCAAATTTTCGCGGCGTGCGGTACGTACATATACACATAGACTTACCGTTGTGTTTGCCTACTCGTGTAGCGTACATATGTACTGTAATACATGGCTAGTTCATCACTAATAGGTAGAATCGATCCCTTTGATCGTACTGAAGAGGATTGGCCAACATATATCGAAAGACTTGAACAATATTTTGCCGCAAATGCAATCTCTGATGATAGAAAAGTGCCTGCATTTATAAGCCTGATTGGACCAAAGACTTATGGACTGTTGAAAAATCTGACGGCTCCTGATAAGCCTAGTGCTAAATCATACCAGCAATTGGTGGACATACTAAGGAAGCACCTTGCTCCTAAACCCTTAGTTATAGCTGAACGATTTCGCTTCCATAAGCGGGACCAGCATGAAGGGGAGTCTGTCACAGCATATCTCGCTGAGCTTCGCAGATTGACCGAGCACTGTGATTTTGGCAGTTATCTCAATGAAGCGCTTCGTGACCGCCTAGTTTGTGGGTTGCGAGCAGGCAACATAACAAAACGCCTTCTTGCAGAAGCAAAGCTCACACTTGAGAAAGCCATTGAAATAGCCACTGCAATGGAAGCCGCAACAAAGGATGCGGTGGAATTCCAGCAACAGCTACATGTTAAACCAGAAACGTCGGTGCACAAATTTGGAGCCAAATCACAATCAACATCATCATGTTATCGCCGTGGGAAATCTGGTCATTCGACCAATCAGTGTCACTTCAAAGATGCTACTTGTCATAAGTGCAACAAAAAGCGGCATATGCG